TTCTTTATGGTAAGGGTGGACAAAATCTGGAAGGGGCTCCCAAGGGAGGTGGTGCTTTCCCCTACCTTGGAGGTCTTTAAGAGGTGACTGGACAAGCACCTGGCTGGGGTCATCTGACCCCAATGCTCTTTCCTGCCTGGGGAAGGGGGTTGGATTCTATGATCTGCCGAGGTCCCTTCCAAACCCAATATTTATGAATCTATGAACTGCTCCGAGACAGATCAGTGGCAGCAAAAGAACCATGCATGAAAGTCTGACTACATCACACCTGATGTGTTCAAAGCAGCATTTCCCAACCACTGTGCTGCAGGCACGTCCATATGTGCCGCAGTATTTTGGGCTGGAGTCACAGCCCCCTGCCTGCTGCTATTGCGGACAGACAGATGGGGAGCGTGGCTCTAACCAGGCGGGGGGTGTGGCTCCAGCCCAAAATGCCGTCCAGCTGTGCACCATCCCACCCAGTCAGCATGTGGCTGGCCACGTGCCACCTGCGCCCTCCCGCCCCAGTCGGTGTCTGGCTAGCCACGCACTATCCCCCCACCCCAACCCTGCATCTGGTGTGCCACAGTGCTTTTTTAATTAGGTAAGTGTGCCATGGGGCAAAAAAGGTTAGGAAACACTGACTCAGAGGACAGCTCCTTTGAGAGACTTCTACTAAACAATGGGGCATCAGAACCCTGCTCTCCTCTCACTTATCAGGCTTTGTTTTTTCTACAGAAGTTTCGAGCAGAGCAAAACAAGGAAGATCTTTGTGGCTCAAACACTCACCGAAGGGCTGCCACTGGCATTGAGGAGGAAGTTGGCAGTGTGGGCTGCAGCAGGAGGCTGATTAGGGATAGGCCGGTGGCCAAGCGCCATGCCTACAATGGCAGTCATGTGGGTTTCAGTGCCAAAGACGTGGATGGGGATCCCAGTAGTTTTTCCTGCACACACATAGAAGAAACCTATCAGGCTTGGTGGATGCAGTTCTTCAAGGTACAAAAAGAGAGCAATGGAAACAGATACCAAACACAGAAACGTTAAGGTTGAATCTTCTTACCCACTTCACCCATGACTCGCAGCCCCTCCTGGTAGTTTGGGCCTCCTCTCCGCACAAAGATCCTCACCTCATGCTCTTTCAGAGGGCCTTGGTAATCTTTAATAGCTCTCACAATACCCTGAAAGACAGCAGATGGGCCATCTGAGTGGGGAGGTGCTCTTGCAGTGACAAGGCAAGAATTGCATCATTCACCCTTTAACACAAAGCTTATAAAATGAAGCGTAATTATGTAATATGTAGGGACCTACTGAATTTGTGGAGGAAGTGGGGTGTGACAGCTTTTTTAATCTTGCAGGTTCATCCCACCCTCCACTGTTTGGTGGAAGGGCCATGCTACTCGCTCCTGATTGGCAGGGAGGCAAAAACCATGATATTTTAAACTGGTTTTTGCCTCCCCACTGCTGATTAGCTAAGGGGCTCCCAATGGCTCTGCTGCTGACCAGTAGGAAGGCAAAAACGGTACCATATGTAAAACTGAGGTTTTTGCTTACCCACTGATCAGGAGTGAGTGGCAGGTGGCAGGGACAGGGCTTGTCATATTAAAGGAGCTGCCATGCACCCCACTTCCACTGTGATAATGTAGGAAAAAAGGATGAACAGTGAAGAGACTGGTAGGCCAGGGTGTGGTCTAGGAATCTGGTTCCAGGAGGAGGTCTAGGAGAAAACCCTCAGGAATGAGAAAAGAAAGTAAGAACAACTGTTTTGTGTATTGGAAACAATTAGCTAGGTATGTGTGGAAGTTTCCAGGTAGACAATGGAGTAAGAGAGCAGAGCATGAGCTGATCTTCTGGAGCCAAATCAGCTTGGGATTGCTGGACTCTCCCTCCCTAACCCACTTGTTCAGCGTTCTGATCAAATGCTTGTAATTGTAATTAGCAATGTGACACGGCCACACGGTATCTCACATGTAGTTTGTATTTTGTTATAGCATTTTAAAGTGTTTGGTTAAAGTAACACTACAACTGCTACTGGCCTTTGGATTTTATAAAAGCATTTTAGCTTAATTACTGCCATGGTCAGTCACATTCCAACACAAAGCAAGAATTACAGCATGCACCCTGGCCAAGCACATGCTCCAATCCTGGCCCAGGGGGACAATCTCTGCTGAGATGGTCAATAAAGAAACCCAGCTGGGAGCATGTTTGTAAGTAGCTGGCACAAATCTGTACATTTCCTAGCATTTCAGAATATCTTGTTACCTTGAACGTGGCTGCCACATTGGTGAAGTTAGCAATGCTGCCTCCAATGATCAGGATTTTTCCTTAGCAAACAGAGAGAAAGAGACACTACTGAGAACATGGCATACAAATGTACTTCTTAAAACTATGAAGCAGCTTAGAAAAAGGAGTTGCGAACAGGATCCACCAGCTCAGGCTGCTGGCAACAGCGCAGCACAGATCATTTGTCTGGAGTCTGCATCATATTTGATAATAGACCTGTACATCTAACAGCAAGCTTTCTGATGACAGCCAGAGACTACTTGCAATTCTGCCCTTTACACTGCAAGAGACACTGGATTTTGTCAGGGAAAGCAGATGTGACAAAAGAGGCCCCTCATTCTTTCTGCAGGGTCACGATAATGCATCTCATGCTAAAAGGCTTATACTACTTATGCCAACACCATACTTCAATAAGCTGTTCCAGACAAGTCCAAAACCAAGAGCAGCTCAGATTTATCCAGACAGCATTTGGGTCAATACAGCAACATACCTGCGCTCTTTATGTTGGCCTGGAAAAGCTCCGTTTGCACTGTCACAAGCAAGAATGCATGACACCAGAAGGATTGCTAGAGTCCAACATCTTACACCTTTACTTACCCTCAGGATGCTTCTCCTGGGTCATGAGGGAGAGAATAGTCTTAGCATAATCATAGGTCTGCTGCTCACTTGGGGCTCCGGAGTATTCCCCATAGTTTGCCAGTTCGTTCACGCCCCCCAGGTCACAAATGGTATCACTGTAAGAAAGGAAGAAAGTTTGGCACTTCTCAGGCAGCACAGAAACATGCAGAAACAATTGGCTCTACTATTTCCTGAGGATGAGGTCGATTTCCCCATGGGGGCTAACGTGACTATATTTCCAAAGGAGGGAAACTTTATGACTGTCACAAAGGTAAAATTCAGACAGTTTCTTTCTGCCCTTCCAAACCAGACAGACAGAGATCATAAGAACACATGCTGAGCCCAGCACCAGGGATTCTATCAATGGGACTGATAGTCTGCACCTGCCAGTCTGGAAGTAGGAAAAGAGGTTCTGAAGTACAGTGTGGGGAGGTACGCTGGAAGAAAGACCTACAGAACTGGGCTTAGGTTCCTCCCTTGGGCGCTGTTTTTAGAGCATGGTGCATTACCTGCCACCAGAATGAAACTGCACTCTGTTCCCCATCAGAGATACAACACATGCACTACACTCAAGAAACACTTCAGGGCAACACTTCTCAGCTCAGGCCAAGTCCCAGCCACCTGCAACATGGAAGCTGCTGCTGCTGCTCTAAGCAAACTTCCCCTTTGGGCTTTCACACTGGCTTTCTAGGGTCAGAATCCTTCTCCTCTTTAGAAATCCTACACTTAGTACCTGTAGACCACAGATGCACCACCTCCAGCCACCATGGTCCAGATCCTTCCCTTTGGGTTGAGAAGAGTCAGTTTCAGGCTGGCTCCACTCTTTGCATCCAGATCAGCAATGTAGGCTTCCTGAAGACAGACAGAAGTTTTAAAATTCCCCCTTGCTATTTTTTTTTCCAGGTTAGTGAATGCATCCTCCTTGTGGAGCAGGTTGGGGTAAAGCTGCCAGGCCTGATGTCCTGATGTTCCAGCTCACCTGGACTAAGATTGGATTTATAGGAGCTCAGCATTTCTGAGAACCAGAACGACTCCTGTCCTAGTGTCTCCTATAGCAGGCCTTGGAAGCCTGTTTTGACTGACCAGTCTATCTGTATTTCCAACCCATCTAACTACTTCTCTTAACAGCCTTGGCAGGACTGTTCTTTATTATATCATACAGCTTTATCATCATAGATAAGTAAGGCTGAAAGACCTCAAGAAATCATCTAATTCAACCAGGGATTGAACCTGAAACTGAAGTTATTAGAGCCATGCTCTTACCAACTAAGCTATGCTCTTCAGGACTTTGTCCAGTCCCATTTCAAGAGACCTAGAGACATGAGCATTTGAGGAACACCTACCTGGAGGAGTTGCATCTCACCACTGGAACCAGTGGGAAATGGATTAAAATTCCAGCCTGGGGGACCATCAACCCCTCCCACCAACCAAGCACTTCCATTACCAAAGAGACCATGACAAATGGAACCAAAATAAAACCCAAACAGGAGCTTGCACTGACAGTGGAGAACAAGCACCATCTCATTACTGGACATGGCTTTCCTCCCAGCCCCCAACAAACACCTGGTCGATGGAGCAGAATTTGGCTCCCCTTGATCATTACTTATGGAAATCCTACCCTCTAGGAAATGCATGCTCTTTTATTAAGCCTATAACCTGTTTGTCCCTCACATATATAAATCTGGGCAGGAGGTCATTGGTAAACTACACATATATAAATCTGGGCAGGAGGTCATTGGTAAACTACTGAGCTGCAATTTTTTTTTCCCCTTAGTGCTTGCTCTTGCAAACTGTAAACTACTCACTTAAGACAGGAGTCAGGACTACTCACAAAGGAACTTCTGGAGTGCTACCAAGTCAGCTACAGCTCGACAAGGCTGCATCACCCACTACATTTCTATCAGAATATCTCGTGTCATATCAAGGTAGTCAGTTCACTTCACCATTCATACCACACTTTGGAAGCTGTGAGGTTTCCATGGCCCCATAGACCAAAATTGCAAAAAAAAAAAAAAAGGAATGTTTTCTAAAACCAGCCCTTTGAATCATCAGCTGCAGCTGTCAGAAGTTTTGATTTTGGTACAGACTAAGGTCAGACCTGGTAACCAAATCAGCCAATAGTCTTATTCTCTTTCTACCTATACCACAGCCAGAGATGTAATGACAGAAACCCCCCCACCACAAACCACTGCCCCATCTAGCAGTGAGTTCCTTTAGTGTTGTGAAGCACTGCTGTAATAAGAGTTCATTAGCAATCTCAAGGAACATGCAGACATAATAACCTTCAGAGTGACTTGCAGGTGGATGATTCAGACTGAATGAAATCAAAATAATCTACTCAAGTGCTAATTGAGTTAAGTGTCAGCATCCAGCAAGCTACATGGGGAGAAATATCTAAATGGATTTCTTGGCCACATTACAAAAAACCTTTCCCAATTTAAGAAGCATTATGATTATTAAAATGAAGGTGCTGAATAGAAGACAAATCCTCCTCAACATGCCAGACCCAAGCACCTGACAAGTCACTGCTTGATTAAGGAGAGTGCATTATGTCTGATGAAACTCCAAGTCTGCCATGAGCCTCTGTACGCAGAATATGCTTTTACAAGGTTAGGTACAGACATTAAAAAAAAAAAAAAGCTAGAGGTGGAAATCGATTTAAGTTACCTGGTTTTCTGTACATGGCGTAGTTTAGACTGGCAGCGAACAGAACACACATTTGTCCCATTGCAGGTTTAGACTGGCTTCCAATCACTTATACCAGAAAAAGTGTAATGTCTGTACCAGGGATGTGAAAGGTTAAATGATTAACCGATAAACCTGGCGAGAGCCGGTTATGGCTGATGGGTTATCATTTGGCATGGGGCAGGCATGGAGCAGTCTGGTGGGGTGGGGGAAAGAAGTGGGAAGCCTTGCTGTACCACAGCAGGAGAAGGGAAGGTGGCAGGGCAGGTGGGCAGAGGGACTAGTACACCCCTCACCTATGAGGTTAATGAGGAAAAAAAATATTGAGCAGTCTAATGACTCAATTAAGTAATTAGCTGTTCCTTCATAGATGTTCCCTCTCTCAGCTTCAGGTGAGCTGCCCCTCGTCTGGTGGAGCTTGCCAGCAGCATGACTGGGCTGCTGTGTTACTAGTTAACCATTTAACAAATATAATTAGAGGAGGCTAAAATGGATAGTTTTTTAAACGATATTTACATCCCTAATCTGTACCTGACCTTAAAGTGTCTTAAGTCAAGGGTACAGGGGTGTAGGTTGTAGCTGTGTTCGTCTAAGGACATAGGCAGACAAGGTTCTTTGGGTGAATCTGATATCTTTTATTAGACCAACTTAAATAGTTGGAAAAAAAAATTTTAAGCAAGCTTTTGGGTTCAAAAATCCTTTGTCAGGCTGAGGAAGTTTCTGCAGTTGGTGTGTGCCCTTCCTGGATGGAATGAAAAGCAAAGAAGCCAGAGGCTGGGCTGGTCTGCA